TTTACATACTCAGGTTCCCTGTAAGATGAATAGGGACAAAGGATAAATTACTTTGGGATCGTTTAACTTTGTCCTCTGTGCCAGGTTTTTTGTTTGTTTTTGAAGCATGGTGTAGTCTAGGCTGGCTTTAAAAAGGGCTTCAAAGCCTGCTCTTCCTTCCTCCACCTGCCATGAGCTGGGAGTACAGTCGTGGGCCACCTTGTCACCTTTTCTAGGGATCAAACCAGAGCCTCGCCATGCTGGGCAAGAATGCCACCCATTGGCCAGTTTCCTAGCCTACAGAATGGTAACAAAGACAATACTCTCTTCATAGTCTTGTTATGCAGGAGCCAGACATAGCAATGCACTTAGGAGGCTAAGCCAGGCAGCCCGTGAGCTCTAGACGAGTCTGGACCGTACAGAGAGGGTTCATCGCAAATGAAGGCGAGTGAGGGCAAGAAGAGAGGCAGGATCCCGTGAGAAACAACGATACTCACCTTTGTAAGAGCACTGGAGACTCAGGGGCAGCTGAAGCCAACTGTTTGCTCTAAGTCCTTGCCGAAGTGGAGCAAGCGTCAGTCTTGCGCCACAGGTGCACTGAGTGCAGGGAACATTTTTAAAGCCTGAAACACGGCCCTTCATCCCTTTTGCGAATAATCAGGAGGGTGCAATCTCACATTCCATCTGGACCCATCTTTCCCTCGGTCCTTATGTTTGTCCTTTTTCTCAACAAAACGCTGGATGCGTTCCTCTGTTTCGCATCCTGTTTATTTTAACGCTTATCAGACTCTAACGGAGCTTGGCTGTGAGTAAACAGTCTCACGTGGGTGGAGTCGGCAGGCGCCCTTAGCAGAGCCAGAGTTTAAGATTTTCATCAACAACAGTTGACTTTGAAACTAGCCTGGGACACAGTGACCTTGTCTGAATGGCGCTCGCCACACGAGTCTGGTGACCTGAATTTAATCTCCTGAACTCCCGTGTAGGTGGAAGGAGAGAACTGACTCCACAGAGCTGCTGTGGCATGTGTACCTACCCCCTGACCCCAGATCTTACACACACACAAACACACACACACACACACGCATAATGATAATAAATAAAATTTAATTTTTTATTTGCTTTGTTTTCTGAAACACAGTTTCTCTGTGTAGCTCTGACTATTCTGGAACTTTCTTTGTAGACCAGGCTGGCCTTGAACTCGGAGAGATCGGTCTGCCTCTGCTTCCCAAATCCTGGAATTAAAAGTGTGTGCTACCACTGCTTAGCTGAAATTTAATTTTTTAAGCTGAAAAGAAAAAGGAGGAGGCAAAGAAAGGAGGATAAGGGGGATGGGGAAGAGAAAAAGGAAGGAGGAAGAACACAGTGAGACCCAGGAAGAGAGAAAATAGACATGTCAGAGTGTAAATTGTACCCTTGGTAGTGCCTAAGGGCATTCATCAAACCTAGGATTTGGAATCAGATATAGAGGATGACCTACGCAACCTTAGACACTTGTGACTTTAGCCCCAAATACAACACAGAACCAACTCTCTGAACCTCTCTAGCCCAAAAGTGAAATAATCAATATCTATGAAATGTCTGGGCTAATAAATACTCTTGTTGTCATAACGGCCCTGTATGTGGAAGGAGGGTACAGAAAGGGGGGGGTGGGATCCACAAAGGTCATGAGTAGTGTTCATATGACCAAAGGGGCTCAGCTCCATCTGTGGGTTGCTTTTTTCCTTCTACAGGTCAACAAAGTTCTCACTCAAACTGTGGGGCCATGAGCCAGTGAAGTAGTGTGATTGCCAAAACAGTCCCAATATCACACGGAGAGCACAGGAGGAGGCTGTGCAGTAATGTGCCAACAAGCCAAGGCGTCCTGGTGGGACAGCCAGGATGGGACAGCAGGTAGGCCAGTGCCTGTTGAAGGATGCATCTCCTGGGACAAGAGAGATGCTTGTTTCTCTTGACCATCAGAAGTGCCTATCTGAAGTAAAGGCTGTTTCATTTTCTTCTGCTGAGCCCTGGTAGTCAGAACTTACCTGGGCATAAATTTCAGTTTCATAGAAATAATTTCCCAATAACATGACAATTTAGTGATGATGTAGGTGTCTATCCGTGGGATGGGCTGGCAGTGGGATGAGCTGTCTAGTTGTAAGAAGGTCGAGGCCCAGAATCCTGCATGGCTTCCCAAGCCTCTCGTAACTTTGAAATTCTATTTCAAGAAAGGCTATGGGCCAGGCTGGTGGCTGGCTCACACCTGGATTCCCAGCACTCGGGACACTGAGACAGAAGAACACATATTCAAGACCATCCTGGGCTACATAGCAAGACCTTGACAGCGACACAGAGAGACAGAGATAAAATATAGATAGGTAGATAGATGATAGATAGATAGATAGATAGATAGATAGATAGATAGATAGATAGATGGATGGATGAATGTAAATAGAGAGATGATAGAGAGATAATGGTGATGATGATGATGATGATGATGATGATGATGAAGACAGACAGACAGACAGACACAGAGCACATGGACTCCAAGGGAAGCAGTTTGGTGATAGCCATTTATGTTTCTCTTCTCTAGACTTGGGGTTAGCAGCATAGGGTAGACATTGTGGCATCTTATTTAACACTGGTTCTTTCACTACTATAGATGAGACGAAGAATATTTTTATTCCAAAATTAGAATTACTCACTTTCTCTAAGGAGGGTGCAAGAAGTACCGTTTTAGCCTCTCCTTGTGTTAAATTATTTTAATTCCAATAATACAGTGGGGGCAGGAAACTGCTATTACCACTAATATCCAGAAAACTGACTCTGAAGTTAAGAATAACTGCTTCTGCTCTTGAACACATGATTCAATACAAACTCCAGTTCCCTTATTTATAAATAGAGGTGATAAATGTTGATTTAGCCTCCATATTTGCCTGTATGCACTAGTCATTCAACACGCATTTGGATACCTTTTATAATAGGCTCGAGGCTGGCAAGGGGGCTTGGCCAGTAAAGGTCACTGCTGCTGAGACTATGACCTGAATCCGATGCTCAGGACCCACAGGTAGAAAGAGAAAACTGACTCCTGCAAGTTGTCCTTTGACTTCCACATCACAACCACCTGCCCACACACACACACACACACACACACACACACACACACACACAATAAATAAAGTAAAATACATATAGGATACTAGGCTTGTCTCTATTTGCTTGGGACATACATTATCAAATGTATAAAAGCATAAAGCTGCCTTTTCTAGGGAAAAATGATGCAGCTAGCACTGTAAGTTGAAGCACACAAGTGTGAGATTACTATACGAAGTGAGAACAGGAGTTGGGGCAGCTTCCTGCAGAAGGGCAATGCAGACCATGCAGGTGAAAAGCACACACAGGCAGGTTCCGCAGATAGACCTCAGTGGATGCCAAATTGCCACAGTGCCTTCGGGGCTAGCAGGGCCTGTGTGTAAATGCCCACCCCATTAAGTGTGTGATGTATATTCAAAGCCAAAACCCAGACGAGAATGGAAGTGGTTCTGTTTTCAGGTGGCTAAAAACACACTGGCTTGGAGTTCTGGCATTCCCTCCCGATGATAAGAACCGGCACGAATTTGAAAATTCAAAACCCCAAGGCTTGGACTGAGTTATCAGCTTCGACTGATGTATCAGGTCAGTGACATACTTATTTGACTATGACTTTTGTGACATCCGGTCATGATCTATGTAGCTGGGCACTGTGACACATGCCTGCAGTCCCAGCTTCTCAGGAGGCTGAGGCCACAGAATGGTTTGAGCCCAGCAGCTCAGGGCGAGCCTGGTAACACAGTGAAATCTTAGGGAGCCCGAGGAACATGCTGCCTAGCCTTTTTAAAGCTTGGGATACAAGCCCTAGGTCTGAAAACACACACACACACACACACACACGTATATAAAGATGGATAAGTTATCAAATACCAGGCACACAGCCCATTATCCTAACTTTCATTATTATCATAACCCAAACAAAGTCATCTGAAGTTGAATCCGAAAATAATCTTTGCATATTTTCAGCCTACCCAGGATGAAAAATAAGGCCATGTCTTCCAGGAGGGTACATTCCACAGTCATGTGCCACAGGAGTTAGGCTAAGGTCACTTTTTATGAGAACAAACCAGGAAAACATAAAGAAGTATTCAGCTAACTAAATGCTCCTGCCAGTGCTCAACCTTGCTAACTGGCTGAGGCCTTCAGAATGCCAAGGCAGGCAAACAAAGGCACAGGGGTTGGCAGATCTGAGGACTTTGCCAGAAGGCATGGGGGAAAGGGTTTACACTGTGAACCTAGCCTGGCAGAGCTCTCCAGTCACCTGCACCTGGGCAGCTTGGACCTGGGCATTTTAATGTGCTCTCTCCTGGACTCTTTCCTGTGTGGGCAGCTTCACAGCCCACAGCTCAGCACACTGCCAGGGGCAGAGGGGACATTTACCCTGCCATTCCCTTTTGTAATTTTTAGGTAAACAGAAGCCTTGGAGTCGTCACTGGTGTTAGAGCCTTGTCTATTAGTAAAGGTAACTGAGCCAAATAAAGGAATGTAGGTTAAAAGATATGGGTTAAGGGCTGGAGAGATGGCTCAGTGGTTAAGAGCACTGGCTGCTCTTCCAGAGGTTCTGAGTTCAATTCCCAGCAACCACATGGTGGCTCACAACCATCTGTAATGAGATCTGGCGCCCTCTTCCGGCGTGCGGGCATACACGGAGGCAGAATGTTGTATACATAATTAATAAATAAATCTTTTTTAAAAAAAAAGATAT